TTGTTGTTTGGCGGGTCTGGGCTGGGGATTCGAACCCGCCACCTTAGGTGTACATGGCTGGCGCCTTAGCCAGTTGAGCTATAGGCACCGAGCCAGATTTGTAATTTTATAACCAAGTGCTAGGGAATGAGACTTTGCAGATAGCTTCAATCTACCTGTGGTAAAATATAGATAAGCCATCCCGAAAGGAAGGCTGACACCAAAGGGTCAGTTAACTAACATTTTGCCAGCTAATGAACAAAAGCTACCCTAGATAGCAAGATGGTAATGGGTGCTGATGGATTGTAGCGCAGCTCAAACTACAGAATCATCTTGGCAACAGTATCAGGCAACACAAAAAAGCTTTCAAACACATCCACAGCTAAATGCATGATAACTTACTCCAAGTAAATGCAATTCTTCTAGGTAGATTAACTTCAGAATCTGGGCAACATGTACAGGCACATTAGAAGGATTTGACTTATTAGTTAAAGTAATATATTTGTTACACTTTTTATTAAGACCAGAACATTTGAAGTGCATTTTCCCCTTTTTTCTAAGCAAACTTATCCTAAATAAAAAATAAATAAATGAAACAAAAGAGAACGAACACTTAAGAGCACAGGTTATGGTCATATTCATGTAAAATTTCATTATCAATGAGCATATTTCTTTTTCAAGCAAAGACCTCATACATGTCTTAATTGCTCCTAGCATTTGGATGATTGTCTGTGAAAGGGCCTTAAACCCACCACCGGGCAATATGACAGAAATGGGGTTCCAGAACTTACAATCTTCTTCTCACGTTTGCTATTGTGTTCTACTGGCATGCTGCTGCCATTGCTTCCTGAGGGTACAATGCAGCCAGGGTTATGTGCCTGGGGTGGAGGCATGCTCTGCAAAGGTTAAGACACACAGATGCATCACATACAAAAGACGATGACAGCGGAAATACATATTAAGTACGTGCAAGTTAGAAAAGCAAGGCTAACACTCTGATCACGTGTGAGTAATTCCGCAGGTCAGAGTCAAACCACTGGAGGAATATGACAGGAGTACACAGACTCTTTTGTAAAAAACCATAATTGGTTCTATCAAAAAAATAGATAAAATATTTAATATTTTCAAAACACCTAGAAAACGTAGCTGTCTCACTTAAAAGATAAAAAGTACTTTGAAAAACCATAAACACACAGAAATCAAATTACAGCAACAACAACCAAGAAATTCTACCATGACCCTGCATGCTTGAGAAAGGTGTTTGAGAAGGGGATCCACGGAGTGATGACCATGCACGTCCACATGCAGCATCCCACTCGTTAACTCAAGCTGCTGTGTCTCCATGGGCAACATGATTCTGCTCTATCCTGCGTAGTACAGACACGGCAGCATTTACCTCCTGGCTTAGGAGAGGCCTTGCTTCAAGGGCTATCCTCTTCTTATGCTCCTCTTTTACAGGCATTAGGGGTTTGAAAAACTTTGGTGGCTGAGGAGAGAATGCTTTAAAAGGGCTGATGGTTAAGGCATGAGGATTCTCTGACGTACAGCCTGGGGAAGAAAAAAAGTGTGAGTTTACAGATAAAGAAAACCTTATCCAACATACAGGAAGTGAGGCAATGACCTAGCCGTGGAAATATCTGGTAGAACAATGACATTCATAGGCTAATGTCTGGCTAAGCATTAAAAGAGATGTGGGGGAGAACAGAGATAAACTTATGCAATCACAAGTAGTTACCAAGGGGATGGTCAGTGTCAAAGAAACCAGAAACCGAATTTTCTACCCTTTTTTCAAGATTCAGCTTAAATAACACTTATCAGACCAATTTCAATGCATGCTGATTTTCCATTTCTCTGAATTCTCAGACCTGTTTTTTTTTTTTTTTTTTTTTTGAGACAGAGCCTCAAGCTATCCCCCTGG